TATAGAAGTAAATAACTTCAAGAAATGTGATATTTCACAGTAATAAAGAAGTATTTGGTTCATAACTGGGTCGTATGGGGTAGTATTGGGTGGTATTGGGTAGTATTGGGTGGTATGGGGTAGTATTGGGTCATAGTCACGGCATTTCGGTGATGTTTTCTGCACCAAATCGCATATTTCCAGATAGGATGTGACGTATAGAAGTAAATAACTTCAAGAAATGTGATATTTCACAGTAATAAAGAAGTATTTGGTTCATAACTGGGTCGTATGGGGTAGTATTGGGTGGTATTGGGTAGTATTGGGTGGTATGGGGTAGTATTGGGTCATAGTCACGGCATTTCGGTGATGTTTTCTGCACCAAATCGCATATTTCCAGATAGGATGTGACGTATAGAAGTAAATAACTTCAAGAAGTGTGATGTTTCACAGTAATTAAGAAGTATTTGGTTCATAACTGGGTCGTATGGGGCAGTATTGGGTAGTATTGGGTGGTATTGGGTATTATTATACCTTCTGTTAAAATCTCGTAATCTGATTGGTTGAGAAAGATGTGAACATTTTCAATGTTACTTGCTCGTTTTACAAAGATAAACAAGACAGGGTGTTATTCCAAAAAATATCACATGCGCCAAACGTATGCGTGCACAGTTCGTCCCAGTGCCAGGGTGTTATTCCAAAAAATATCACATGCGCCAAACGTATGCGTGCACGGTTCGTCCTAGTGCCAGGGTGTTATTCCAAAAAATGTTACATGCGCCGAATGTATGCGCCCCTGGTTCATCCCAGTGAAACCTTTTTGAAACGTTTGTCGACCTTTAAAAATGGTGAAGTGGTGAAACACCTAAACATGACACACCGATCAAACGTGACAAAGATGTACAAGCGAGGAGGCGGCGAAGCGTGCGCTGTTGTTGGGTGCTCCCACAACCGTAAAAAATACATGTTTGGAAAAAGGCGATGTGCGAGGGTCGGAATTATTCACGAAGACTGTCCGTGTTGTGTTCCATATAGCCTACACAAATTACCCTCGGACGAGGAAGTGAAGCGGGAATGGGTGGCGGCCCTACATCGGAAAGATCTTCCAAAGAATGTGTGTGTGTGCTCTCAACATTTCATCGATGGCCGCCCGACAGAGCAAAACCCAGCTCCAAAGATTAACCTTGGTATGTCGTCTTACTCTTTGATTCAGGGTTAACTGTAATGGTCCAAGTAGGCCTAGCCATGGAATTCAGGTCGTTTAGGTACCCGGTCGTTTCGGTACTTCTGAAGGTCGTTTCGGTACTTCTGAAAGTCGTTTCGGTACTTATGGAAAACACATTTTGGTACCAAGTTATAGTCAACGTCACCATTATTAATTAAGAATAATAATAATAAGAAGAAAACACATAACAATAACAATAGGTATTTCCATCCAAAATGGAACGCTGTCACACTGAATACGCGTACCAGCCGAAGACATGAGGAATTTTTTGATAAATTTGATAGTGGAACCCTCATTTTTATGACAAGTTGGTGAATTCCCTCAATGTTGAGTTTCTCCTAAAGAGCTACTCCGATCTACTCAGCTGCTCAGTTAAACTACGAAAGCAAACGTTATATAAACAACCCACTATAAATAACAAATGAGAAATATTTATTAACTAATAAAGGATGTACCGAAACAACTTAAATACAGGTACCGAAACGTATAGAAACGACTTACAAAAAGTACCGAAACATCTTCTTTTTGAAGTACCGAAACTACCGGGTACCGAAACGACTGTACCCCTAGCCGTGTTTCAAATTTAAGTTCATACTTGTGATTTATTCTAAAAATAGAACGGTTATTTCCAGCGACCGTAAACCACAGGGGTTTGTTACAAAATAATACACATTAAATTAATCCCTTGCTACGCCATCTAGCGACAGCTGATATGCCTACAATAATGTGATTCAGTAAGGTTATATCATATAGGCTGCGTGTGACAAAGGGAGAAAGGCGCTACATTCTATCATAGGGCTTTGTCCCTCAGCATGTGATATCAATCCTTTAGTAAAAATCAGTCTTTATAAGAAAGTGATACTACCTTCAATTCTATATGGATGTGAGCACTGGGTTCAACTCGGTAATACCGACCTCGCGAAACTTAGTCGCTTTCAACATTACGCTGCTAAGGTCATTCTTGGAGCTGATCGTCGTGCCAGGTCAATATTGTTGAGCCTATACTTGGTTTGATTAGAATTTCTGCAGCTATTGATAAGAGGAAGCTAATATTTCTCGGAAAGCTTGTTCTGATGGAGCAGTCTCTCTTAACTAAGCAGATCTTCACAAGAAGACTATATTCATTCCTTCATTTGCAAACGGAAAATGTTGGAAGTGTTCGTGAAAGAGGGTTTGTTCGGGATATTGTGCAGATAATCTACAAATATAACCTGTCGTCTTACTTGGTTGCACACCTTCGTAACTACACGTTCCCCTCTAAGCTTCAGTGGAAGGGAGTAGCGAGAAATTCCATAATGGCTACAGAAAACCTGACCCTAAAAGATCGACTAAGAAACAACCGTGATTTTGATATATTTAGGAACTGTCACTCCTCCTACAACCCGTACATTATGTTGCGCGCGGCAAAATCTAACAGAGACATAGAAGAAATTTACTCATTGTGCAGATTATTGGCAAAGCCTTCGCCACCTGACCAGAACGTTTGCTCCAAGTGTTCTCAACGTTTCTATGACGTCATATCTCACTATTGCTGTACCTGCGAGTACACCAGCGAACTCGGGGCTCATTTTCTTCAGATGACCCTTTATACGTTTGGATCGAATGTGTTCAATTACATTGATCAACATGACACTGCTACCTTTGTTCACAATTTATTAGGTGCAAAAACAGGTCCCCAATTTCAGGATGATACAACTCAAAAACTGTTTCTGATGCATGCAGCATACTTTGTCGTGCGCGCTTCGCAAACTCGAAGTGAATGGAATGATTTAAGAAACCATGACTAAGACTTTTACTCGCGTTCGTGAGGACACAGTTCTTTAGCTGAGCCCTACCGCGGCATTTTCTTTCCTTTTTTTAATTTTTGCTTTTTTTCTTGTACACAAATATCTCCTTTTTGGAGGAAATAAAGTTTGATGATGATGATGATGCATATACATGTATGCTAGAAATTATAGTATATTGGGTATTATTTCTTTGCATGTACACTATAATTACATGACAGAACGCCAAACTCCTGTGTTGTTGTTAAATATGTCTACACACTAATACACATGCTTATAGCTATACTGATATGGTTCACAGTACACCCTGCCCATATATCAGTACAACGTATGGTATTAGACATTTGTAACAAACCCTGTTTTCTAGCTATAGAATAAAGTGAAAATAAATAAGTGTGTTTGATGTTCCTACAATGTATAGCTACCTACACCAGGATATCTAGTTCTAAAATGAAAATTTTCTTTTGGATTTCTTGATAGTAAAAACAATCTAATAGTATTTTTATTGTCTTAAAAAAATAATTGACATGTTATTAGATTGTAAAATATGTACCTGTCTTTAAAACTGAATGAGCATCTTCAAATAAAATAAGCTAAGCTATAAAGTTACCAACTTTAATTTCTGGTAATGTAATGTTACAATCAACATTTGTATTTGTACTCTCATAAAAATACAGGTGCTGTCATGATCACTCACCTGTGCCTACTGATAAGTCCATACACACAGGCATACAGTTATTTTGATTACATTGTGTAGTTATGTATATACTATGCCAAACTGTACTCAAGTTCATCCTGTCTGAAGTCAGAAGATGTTCCAAATCTAATGTATACAGTGAAATATGTGATATCATTATGAATATTTTTCATTTACACAGGTTATGACACACCTGTGAAGATGGGACGGAGAACGGTAAAGAGGAAGTTCAATGATGTACAGGATTCAGATGCAGGATATAGGTAACAATATGAAATAGTTATGTAATTATAAATAAGTGATTAGCAGCAGACAGTGGAGACCAGGTGTTCACAACTCTGTAGTGTAGTGGATACATATAAAGAAGTAATTAGGAATGGCATGAATTACTGAATTAAATATAAAAATAATATTATACCCAAGCTTATAATTAGATCAATATTTAATCTGTTATA